AAACTGCATTATTAAACATTTCATAGACAGATTAAAGCCTTTGTATTTTATCTTGATTAGGTATCACATGGAATATTATGACAGTTCTGGGTGGCAATTTTGTTTTGTTTTGCTTGAGGGTCACACCCATATGTACTCAGGACTTACACCTTGCTCTATGCTCAGAAGTCACAACTGGCAGTGCTCTGCACATGATATGTGGTGCTGGGGATGGAATTCTCGTTGGCCGTATGAAAGGTAAGCACTATATCTCCAGCCCTGGGCAGCAACTTTTAAATGTATAATATAGATTATATCTATATTAGAATGAAGGACAATTGTATGAAAACTGCATTTCCTTCAAATAATTCTGTGTTTTAGATCTTACTAACTGGAACTGCCTTTCTTCTTAAAGATCCAAAATAGTGAGTTTTCTTATAGGAACTCTTTGTTGAATATTATTTTGTGTACTCAAGATAAAAAGAATTGTATTAGGGGCTGGAGCAATAGCACAGCGGGTAGGGCATTTGCCTTGCACGCGGCCGATCTAGGTTTGATTCCCAGCATCCCACATGGTCCCTTGAGCACCACCAGGGGTAATTCCTGAGTGCAGAGCAAGGAGTAACACCTGTGCATTGCCGGGTGCGAATCAAAAATTTAAAAATAAATATTAAATAATTATGTGCAACATTGCTATACAAATTAGTTCTTTTTAAAATACAATCAATTAATTGAGAAAGCTAATAAAACCTTAGTACTGACACAGACTTCCCTTTCCAATTACCATGTTAAATTTCAAACTTAGCTGGAAATGACCAACTCTCAGTGGTCTCCCACATCTGCTTGAAAGGTAGACCTACCATCCCATTCAGTTTGTCTGAACTTTAATCTGTGAAATCACGAAGAACAATTATATATGCCCATATCCAATGCTAAAAAGATGATAAAACTTAGAAAAATTATGAAATTACTATATAAACTCTATAGCCCCAAGCAGTAAAAAGAGAGTTTTCAAATTGTCATTACTGGACTGTTTCCTGAGACATCCCTACCCTCTATGCCCTTTGATGCCAGGGAGGGCTAGAGCAATAGCACAGCAGTAGGGCGTTTGCCTTGCACGCAGCCAACATGGCCAACCCGAGTTCGATTCCTCCGCCCCTCTCGGAGAGCCCGGCAAGCTACCGAGAGTATCGAGCCTGCACGGCAAAGCCTGGCAAGCTCCCCGTGACGTATTCGATATGCCAAACACAGGAACATCAAGTCTCATGATGGAGAAGTTACTGGGCCCGCTCGAGCAAAATCGATGAACAATGGGAGGACTGTGACTATGACTGTGACTGATGCCAGGCAAACACAATAAATACTCTTAAGATTTAAACCAACCCAATTATAGAAGACATTCTGGGAAGTTTCTGGGCAGATATCGGACGAGTAAAATTTGATCAGGGATTCTTGGGAAGCCAGTGAGCCAGTTGGCCTAGATCAAGTTTCAAAACCAGAAATAAGAGCTAGAGCCTGAGATACTACACATATGTCCTGTTTCTTGGGGTAAGGCCACTGGGCCTGGACCCAGATGTTTTTTGTTTGTTGTTCTGAGGAGTTAGTTATTTGTAATGAAATTGTGTGATTTCCAATCTGTCCATGTTCAAGCAAATATTCGACTGGCCAGAAAAGGCAGAAGCCAAAATCTAGGAACAGGATATATTTTGGCACCATCCTTGCAACTGCCAGAGTTGTTGTCTAGTTATAGCTAAGAACTCTCACTCAAAGTGTCAACAGGGTAGAAAAGCAACTCACCTACAGCCTCATTTTAATTCCTAGATTGCCTAATAACTGAATCACACCCAGAAGTAGTTGAGGGAAACTAAGCTATTTACAAGCCCCGCAATCAAAATGACTTCACAATTTGTCTAGTCTTCCCAGACAGAGACTATTCTGAGAAATAAGAAAGAAATAAAAATATCCAAACTTCATACTACAGCTGATGATCAGGGTTCCCTCAGCCACAAATAAAGTTGGTGGAATACACTGTAAAATCAGATGTCATAAATTACATAGATTAATGTTTTAGAGGAAATAATAAAATAATACTGTTTATATATATACATATATATACACATATATAGATAGATAGAGAGAGAGAGTAACCTGAACTAATACTTAGCAACGAAGTGAATTTTTGATTGATATTAAGAAAGTAGTGACTAGAGAGATATCTGGGGATCTGAAACCAAGAGTTTCCCAATAAATAAATAGGCCTCATGGGTGCAACAAAGCTACATTTCTTCAGTTTTACTAGGTATTACAGGTATAGAATATCATTCTTTTTCCTTGCTTTCTCCCAAGAAGTATCTTTCCAAGAGACCCTTAGTCTCCTGTTTTCAGAAGCTTTTGATTCCTGCACCTTTAAAGGGTGGGCTTTGAAACCCAGCAGAAGCTGAGTGATGCAGCGGTTGCTAGGATACTATTCGAGGGTATTTTTACTCTCCTGGTGAGGATTTGAGAGCCAAAATTCTTGAGCTGGAAAGTTTCACCTCTTAGTAACAGAAGCGTATTCTCTACCCAAATAAGTCAGAAACAGGAAAGGACCAGGAACAAGAAGCTTTGCTGAGAATGTTAGACCTAATAAAAGAGTAAAATAAGACTTGTTTTCTTCCATCCTACCCACTTACAAGGGAAGGGGAACAGTATCAGGAGAAGTACAAAGGAGAAAAGGGGGAAAATAGGATAAACTGAAACAAGGGAAAGAAAAACAGGGGGTGATAAAATGCAAATGTTGTAGTCCTCTGGGATTAATCATATATTTCTTCCACTCTTGTCTTTTTGTATACACTCATAACACTGAAGGAGAAATGCCAAACAATTAGGATTCATACACGTTGAAAACTCATAATTCCACTTTTTTTCTTGAATTCTCAAATTTCCTGATAGCTGCTCTAGAGTGGACTATAATCTAGTTAACAACATCACTTTAACTGTCTAGAGAGGAATTAATTTTAAAAGTGCTTACCCATTTAGCCTGTACAATTATAGATGTCAGGACACATTCATGCTATCTGTTTAGGAGTTGGGGGGTTGGGGGTATAAGGGGTAACACCCATCCATCTAAGCATCAGTCAAATTACTTGAGTTAGCTCAAAGAGATTCTAGTTTAATCATCTCCAAGTGTCAATGTTAACAGAAAATTTTAAATCCACTGGGAGGAAACTTCCAAGGTCAAATTGCCACTAAATAGAGTAATAACAGGTCTGTACTTCCCAGACAATAGTCTTTTTTCCACACTCACCAATGCTGTCTCAAAATAAGTTGCCAGCAGAAAAAAAAGTTCTTACATTTAGATACTATCTCTGGAAATAAGGTGGTTGAGGTAGATAATTAGATTCTTTTTGCAGAGAAACAAATACTCAGATCAGGGGACATCCACAAAGGAAAAAAAAGAGTAACTAATAAAAATCTGCCAACAAACTTCCCAGATTATGCTTACATCATTGTACCAACTGAAAAATAATTAGCTTCTCACCCATATTAATAAAAAGAGTACACACTGACATGAAAACCATACCTGACTCTAAGTAATACTCTCTGAGACATGAGATCAGGAAAATTTCAGCAACCCTCTTCACAGACCTTTTTCTCCTCTAAGTCATTTCCAAAGAGACCAAATCACAATACATGGAAATTTTCAGCACAGTGCCAGCATTTTTTACAAATTACACATGAGCAATCACCCACATGGGTCTTGGAAGAATATGTCTAATTATGTATACACCTTTCTATGGCTCTTTGAGACATAAAATGAACTACTTCAAGTCATGTAAGCAACAGAATGAAAATGACCTTTCTTCATAAGCTGCACTGGGAGACCTTGGGTTCAGAAGTCCAGAAGAATGGGACAAATATTCATAATGGTATCAGACACATTTTTCCTGACTTTCTCTGAGGAAACATATATAGAATAATATTAACAATCACAAACACCTCCATCACTACCATCATATATACATGTGAAAATATGTAAAATTGGAATATTACTTTTTAGCTCATTCCTTCACAAATTCCCATCCCATTCTATACAATTTTGGGGGGAGCAGTTACTCACCTCTCAACTTAGTAGTTTACATACTTTCATTTTGTTATAGACATCTTTCCATCTGAGAGCCATTGATGTTAAAGAACAAATAATAAACAGTACTTTCTCATTAGACATAGCAAGCTCTATTTAAATGATTCAACAATATCACTACAAATAAAATTATTTCACCAAAGGGTACATATCCAAATGCTATTATTTTTGGTTGGTTAAAAACCTGGATTTTGTTACTTTTTTGGAGTCAGAGAAAAACCCCAAACTCAGTCTAAGGGTATGATTTTTAGGAAATTGAAACCGCTCTTGTAAATATCTCATCTTGAAGTTCATAAAGATATGTACCATTCTATTATTCCAAAGAACCTACATTTAAAGCATTGACAAATGTCTTAAATGTGGCTTTTTTCCATACTGGAAAGGTGAGGACTGGGCAGCAAAACAAGATTTAAAAGACACACTCACCATCTGCCAGCTCAATGCACTTCGCCACATCACTTAAATTTTAGCTTCTCAAAAGAGATTAGACAATCAGTACCATTTCCCCTAAATTCATAACTTATGTCATTTTTCTCTCTAAACATTCTTTCTTATGATACCCAAAACTCTGTATGCTCTTCCTACAAGACCCCAAGCCCTCAAACAAATCCAACTGAATTCCTGGGAGACAAAAAAGTTTCAATTAATATTATCTTATGGATCCTAATGTTAGTTTTCTAGAAAACGAGTTAAGACAACACAAAGAGCAAAGCCACTGTTTAAGGACACAGAGCTTGTTCAGTGAACGTCACATTGATGGAGAATGCACAAACATACATGCACACTTAAATAGAAAACATGTCTTTATCAACAATGTTACTCAAGCAATAAACAACTACACTCACAGGCATAATTAAAGGACAAGACATGAAAAACGATTTAGGGAGAGATAATATACCAACGTCATACATATCACAGCGAGGCCATGTTGAAGCTCACGTTTTCCCCCCTGAGTAAGAAAGCTTGCTCTTTTTCTCCCTCTCTTTCCCTGTCTCTGTCTCTTGACTTCTTTTCCTCGGTGATTCTTGGGATGAAATCAAAGAGGTAATTCGCAACAGTTTAGTCGGCTGGACTCCATTCAGCGCGTTCCCAGGAAAAACATGAGTATGACATTGACAAGCAGGAGGACTACAATCACGGCAAATACAACTACAGTTTGCACATCCAGGGTCATGGTGCAATGCAGAACACTGTAGTGTTCAAGGTGGGGGGCTGGCAGATTGGGAGATGTCAGTCTCTGTTCTGTCAGACTGTCCATACAGCCACCATGCTAGAATGGAGTAGGAAGTGAGGTGGTAGGGAGGGGCTGGGTTTGGCGTCCGAATTTGGTCTGGGGAGGACTGGATGGGGACAGGGTAGCTATCTTCACCCCTTGTCACTATTGGGCTGCTCTTTCTTCCCTAGCTGAGGAATCTTAGCTGGAGATGTAATCTGCAGAGCCCTGCATATTCTCTCTCTCTCTCAATCTCTCTCTCTCTCTCTCCTCTCTCTCTCTCTCTCTCTCTCTCTCTCTCTCTCTCTCTCTCTCTCTCTCTCTCCCCTCTCTCTCCCCTCTCTCTCTCAGGTGCCACAGATAAGCAAAAACCTGTCTTTTCAAGGGGAAAGGCGGGAGGGACTTGCGCGAGGTTCTCGGCGCCTGCTCAGTCTTTCTGTCCTGATTTCTGTCAGTCCACCTGCCTGGCTACCTGACAAGTCTCAATTTCCCCTACTCGATCTAGATCTCTTGTTTTCTATGCTCGCTTTCTCGTTCTCTCTGTCGTTGTCTTCACGGGGATCCAGGCTGCCAGTCACTCCTGGGAGTCCTGCCTCGCAGAATCTCTCGGTCGCCTCTCCCCACCCCCACCCCCACGGCTGAGTTTTTATTCACTAAGCTACTGCGGGCGCCTGCGTAAGGCGCTGCTAAATCCATTGACAGTCCCGCAGACCAATAGCAGTTGCGGCAAAGGCTTGCATACTGGGGTATAGGGAAGGGAAGGGCAGGACTTAAACTGGCATGCTACCACAGCAGCCAATCAGAGGGCCCAGAGCTGCTCTTTCCGTCAAGGAGTGGGCGAGAGCTGCAAATACTGGAGCCGGGGGTGGAGAGCATGTTTAGGAGTGGGTGGATGGGGATTCAGGAGAGAAGATGGAAAGGAGATAAAGGACTAGGAAAGAGAGTGGGAGCAGATAGATGTGGGTGGAATCGAGAAGAGTGGAAAATCGTGGAGGGAAGTGGGAAAACAGAAAGATGGGAAGAGGGGAGTAAGAGATAAAGAGAGAGAAAGGCTGTAGGGGAAAGGATGACTAGGGAGAAGAAATAGGGGAAAGAATAAATAGAGGGGTGTTAAGCCTCGCCAGCACTTAATAGCTTGGGCCTAGAAGGAAGCAAATTTGGTCACTTCTTAAATATGCAACTGACAATTAGCTATACAAAACCAACAAACCAGTTCTGTGGGCAGAAACAACCACTGAGACACCAGTTCAAAATCAAATTCTATTTAACTTTCTCTGATATTCCTACAATTATAGGTTAGATTTCTTCTCCTAATTATGATTTTTAAAGACTCTTCACCTGTACTCATCCTGTTAGGTACTTTGAAGAGAGGGCAAATTTGTAATATAATAGTCTCTACAAAACTTGCAATCTAATGATAATTACTGTCCTGTTCTGTATTTGTGATCCTGTGTCTGTAATTTGGCAAAATAAAATTTGACTAGAAAGTTTCAATTCTCCACTCTCAGCTTTACCTCATGTTTTCTGAATAACTTTGGAACTCCACTCTTCCCTTTCTAGCATCTGTTTACTTACTGCCACATGAAGACTTGGACTCAAACCTATCTGGAAATTCAGTGAAACAGTTGAACTCTCAGATTGGAAAAATACATATACATTCAGCAGATGGACGCTCAAAAACCAAGGACTCTGTATGCTCTCTAATATCTCTTTAGGCCACTTTATTCCTTTCTAGAAGCCTTTTTCACTGTTACATTCTAGGACTGTTTGACCGACCAATAGATGGTAGAAAGGGACAAGAAACTAGATCAATTATGGGTAGGAAAAACGATAGAATAACAACAATGAAAGTTCAGGAAATGCTAGCCTTTTAAGTTAAATGAGAATTACTGTCTATTTTTAAAAGTCTTAAAAGTTTTTGGGGCTGGAGCAATAGTACAGTGGGTAGGGCGTTTGCCTTGCATGTGGCCGACCCAGGTTCAATTCCCAGAATCCCATATGGTCCCCTGAGCACTGCCAGGGGTGAATTCCTGAGTGCAGAATGAGGAGTAACCCCTGTGCATAGCCAGGTGTGAATAAAAAAGCAAGAAAAAGTTTTAAAAGTTTTATTTAAGTAATATAATTTACAAAGTTATTGATTATTGAATATTTTTATCAAAGCACTGTGATTCACAAACGTATAGATAGTTGAGCTTCAACTATCTGTATTCAAGAGCAATCCCACCAACAATGTTAACTTCCTTCCACAAGTGTTCCCATAGTCCCTTCTCATCTCCAATACTTGCTTCAGTCCTACCTGTTAACTTGACAGGCACATTACAAAGTTGCAGTGGCTGCAGTTTAGACATCATGTTCTTAGTGTTGTTGATTCTGTGGTTTGGATGTATGGCTTACCCATATCCCCAGTAAAACTGAAGCTCTTACCCCTAATTACTGATCACTTCCTGTTCTCTTACTCTTCTTCCCCCTTGATTTCTTTCCTTCTCTGTCCATCTTTCTAAACACTAGGGTCAGGGTGATCTAGACATCTTCTCCCTTTATTACATTATATTTCCTCCAGTTTTCTATATATTGCCGTTAAGTGACATCATTCTGTTTTTGTCACCCGTGGGAACTGGAGGACTGAAAATTATAAATAAATGTTAATCATGAATAAAACCCTCCAAGATAGATTAAACTCAAAAGGCGTCACAATCACAACAGTGTTATAAACGTTTCATACCAAACAAAGATCTGGATTATATAAAACTTCTAGTTCAATAAAAAATGTTAGAACACACAGGAGGCAGAAAAACACTTAAACTGCATTACAAGAATACAGATCATTAAAAATCCTACAGAACCAGCAACACAATTCATTAAAAAATAAATACAAAAGTCAAAGAGAGAGTGCTTTATTCACATGGAACAAAATTTGATATTTTTAAGATAAACAAATTTAATCAGGCTGATATTTGAGATATAAAAATAGATTATACGCTTTCAATGTAATGTTTGGAGCTGAAAAGATAGGATTTCACTTGCATCAGATCTGGGTTTGATCCCTGACACCCAATATAGTGTCCCAAGCTTGTTAGGAATGGTCCAGGAATGGTTCAGCATATAGCCAAGAGTAACCCCCATGAACTGCCAGGTATAGCCAAAATAATATGATAATGAATATTTCAACTGTATCAAACAAAATATGCTCGAGCGGGCCGAGTAACGTCTCCATTGGAGACTTTGTTGTTACTGTGTCTGGCAAACAAAATATGGAATAGGAATAAAACACTGTAACCCTGGATTTTGAAATTGTTTCTTAGATATAATATTAAAATCATAATCAAGAAAAGAAAATAAGTTGGGTTTAATAAACAGTACAAACTTTTGGAAGAAATAATTTGCCAACTACATATATAATAAGAAACTTGTATATAGAAACTGCTTTACAGAGACACAGACTGTAAAAATACTATAGGACCAACCACATAAAGAACTCTGAGAAGTAAAATATAAGAAGAAAAAAAGTCTCATTTAAAAATTGGCAAATAATCTAACATTTCTCCAAAGAAACATCCTATCACATCAACATTAAGATGTCCTTGGGTACAAGACCCCAAAGCAAAGAAAAAAATAAGCAATTGAGATGAGATGATATTAAATAGCTTTATTCAATTAAAGCAAACAAAGAGAAAATATCTGACTGGGAGAAAAGTTTCATATAATATATATTTAAGAAGAGCTTAATATCCACAATACATTAAAAAACTCATAAAATTAAAAAAAAACAGGCAACAGACACTATCAAAAATGGTCAGAAAAATTAAGCAGAGTCTTCTTCCAAATAATAGATACAGGTGATTGACAGGACTATGGGAAGAATCTCAACATCACTTTTGGAAATGAAAATCAAAACCCTGTGTGTCACTGTGTGAAAACTGATATAGAAATGAATAATAATAAGTTTGAACCAATGTTTTTTGTTATTTACTATAGATAAGGTATGGAAAAATGTTTGTTCGCTGATAGATCAGTGGATAAAGCAGGCAGGCCCTCCCGTTGATCGTCAATTTGCTCGAGCGGGCCCAGTAACGTCTCCATTGGAGACTTTGTTGTTACTGTGTTTGGCATATCGAATACTCTCGGTAGCTTGCCGGGCTCTCCGAGAGGGGTGGAGGAATCGAACTCGGGTCGGCCATGTTGGCCGCTTGTAAGGTGAATGCCCTACCGCTGTGCTATTCCTCCAGTGGATAAAATGTGGTATATATACTGCACTGCACTGTCCTCCAGTTGTTAATCTATTTGCTCGAGCGGGCCCAGTAACTTCTCCACTGTGAGACTTGTTATTACTGTGTTTGGCATATAGAATACATCAGTGGTAGCTTGCCAAGCTTTGCAATGCAGGTGAGATACTCTCAGTAGCTGGCCTGGCTCTCCGAGAGGGGCGGAGTAATCCAACCCAGGTTGGCTGGGCCGGCCGCATGCAAGGCAAACGCCCTACTGCTGTGTTATTGCTACACACTGTAGTAATATTTCATTATAAAACATAAAATTTTATTCATTATCCAGAGGGTATTATACAAAGTGAAATGTGTCAGTAGTAGAATAACAAATACATATTACATGACCTATATGTATAGTAAAAGGAAATAAAATTGAAAATAAAAAAATAAAAATGATGGACTATCATAACACTCTGAGGTTACCAGAGAGAATTAGTATTTGAGAGGAGTGTGGAGAAAGGATGAAAGGGATTTGAGAGAAGGTGCTGGGTATTATTTTGTTGTTTGTTTGTTTTATTTTGTTATTTAAAAGGTAAATTAGCACATGAGGATATGCTCAAGGCACTAGCACTCAGGTAAATGCAGGAAATGCAAATGAGGTTT